AGTGTATTCATTAATTTTCATTTTCATGTAGTAAAGGCTCTATGCCTTCATAAAGGACGTACTTTTCCTTTGTTTAAGGGTATTTGGGCAGTTTATTCTCTGTTGTATTCTCAAGCAAACAATACATACAAGTACAGTACAATATTTTCTGAGGAAACACGCATACTTATCCTTTTTTAACCCCATTCCCGATAACCCAGCATTTTCACAAACTCGGCCACCCTTCGGTCCACATTAGGCCGAGCTTTCGAGGCTCTACTGTATTACATTACAAGTACAGTGTTGTCTCTGTAATCTGACATATATTAGACTGGCAGATGTAAGATTATTGGATTTTGTATGCAAGTACTGTACATACTGTACAGTAAAAAATGCACTCAGTTCATGGGTTAGTTTATCATATTAATCACAATTGTGACTGTTTTGCCGACTGCACGAACAAATAAGCAACTAGCAACTGACAGTATACACAAACCACTTGCTTATGTATGCAACCGAGACTAATGTAATACAAAAATTTCACTAGCGCCATCCCACAGCGTCAGATTATTGGACGTGTCAAACTGACGAGTGATAGTCTATAAATTTTTAGTCCATTGTATTTATAAACTGTGGGTTTTAAAAATATTACCAACCCTTGTATATCAATAAAATATACACAGAGGCATTTTTGTCCAATTTGTTTCGTCTACAAATGAACTACGATTTTATTTTATTTTTTAATCGTAACAGTGTTATCTCCATAGGATTACTTAGTTTGTTTAGTAGGTAGGGTTTCTTTCTCGAGAAATCCGACCAGTTTTATTGGTTAAAATTCTGGGATATTTAACTCTTTCTGCATTAAAAATAAAATACTAATGGTACTTGCCAAATCATCATAGGAAACATCAGTGGTTTTATGTACTGAGCAAGATATTTTTGAAGAAATGAGAGAGAACTTTCCCAAATTTTATATTTTACTGCAAAAAAAAAAAAACTAGAAATTCTGTCCACAAACTCAATTTATTGTTTAACATTGTTTAACACAATAATTAGATTTCAATAATTTAAAAATACTGATTTAGCTCTACATACTTGACTCTAAATTTATTTCGTTCAAAATATTTCTTTTCTTATTCATGAATACAGTTAATTGCAATTTAAAGAATGATGTTTTAGCATTTTATTTGTACTTTGCAAATTGAATAATATAATTTCTGAATTTTGAGATCCTGTGACAAAGAAACCCAAGTGCTAGTTCTAAGCCTCTAGCTAGACGGGGAAAAGTTTATCAGTAGTCGTATTATTCGATTATGTAATATTTTGATCATCGGTATAGATGACGTGGCTTTATTCCTCTAGTTTTCATCTGTCAGAGATAAAGATGATGGCAAAAAAAAATTCTAGAGGACTGCCTCGAAAGTGATCCCCTTTGATTCGTCCGGGTCGATTTGATAATTTTTAACAAACCATTTTTGGTGTAGTGGGTTGTGTAAGGATGTATGACAGGGGAAAAAATACAACATGCAAATTTACAACATCCCAAACTATGAAAACAGCATGTAGCTTAATATTGGCTCATCGGGTTTTTTTTTATTTAACCTTATTAATAAAAAACAGGAGGTTCAATATATGATTGAGGAATTGTCGAAGGGGTCGATAAAAAAGTTTGGGTACTTCTGCTCTAGAGAAGAAACTACGGTGCAGTCTCATCTCATGCAGAGGTTGTGCATCAGCAGTACTGCATAAAACAAAATGAGTAAATAAAAATATCACAAATGTACAAAAAACTTTTTAGTTTTTCTCTTCTGTCATTTCAACATACCGATGATAATCCAAAACAATTTGCACGTATGGAGATGGCCTTTTATTAGAGGCCTCCGCAATAAAATGCAAATTGAAAATGGCATCCTCTGGTAGAACGAGTAAATTTTTTTGTCCAGAGTATTCCTACTTGTGCTATATCCCCTATTATGGAAGAATGTTAAATACATTTAAAATATTTTACTACAAATACCGAATGTTGTAATAAAAATAGTGCATGCATTAACAATAATAGTTAATCCTTGGATGCACAAGGTAATTCTGAACTGTTTGCATCCACAAAACAGAAACCTATGCATAATGATCCCACATAAAACAAGGTCCTACTTCACATCACATTTTCAGTCTGAACATTTTTATTTTTACCCAATTCTGACCATTTAAAATAAATACAGTACCATTCCATTATTTGTTCATGAGATATAATAACAGTAAGTTATTTATTGACCATCAAAGTTTAGAAAATTAGTCATTTGATTTGATGAATTGATTTCAGGAGCCAAAATAGACTTCTGAAAATCAAGAATCATTCAAAAAAATAAACAATGAAGGACTGCACTTATTATTTTATTATGATTTGAGTCGGTACAAGTCACCAAATCAATAAACTGTCCATTATAAATCCAACGAGTCAGTCGTTTTGTCCATCTTGACTGAAATGTCGGAGTCTAAAATAACTATAAAAATTTGAGGGCATTCGTGGCCAGCCGATGTCTTTATTGCATAGGCCACTTGGCAGTTGGCATTTGCCATTTATACTTAACTTTTATTTTTTACTCTGGGTCACTGAGAGGATCCTTTTTTCTTGCACTTATCATGAGTCCAATGTATCCAGGTACACTGGTCTGTGAAATTTTTGTGCCAGTTAAGACTCCAATGCCGACCAGTGCCTTTGTGGCATTGGTCAATCAGCCATTTTTATTTATAGACCAATGGTTCCCGAACTTTTGATTCTCGACACCCTTGCTAAATTCAGATTTTCCCAAGGTGCCCTGTGTCAAATTCTAACAAGTACAGTTTGTAAAATAGCAAAATGTCCTAACTCTTTAATTAAAAAGATATAGGCTAAGTAAAAAATAAATAAAACATTTAAGCTAACAAAAATTGTAATTGAACAAATTCAATTAATTATAATTAGTGGGATGAATGAGCCTGTTGATCACCGCACATTTTCTCAAACCTTGAAATCAAACTGGACACAGCCACCCTCATTTCCTTCTCCACATTGATTTTCGTGCAATGCTTAGTTTTTATCACAGCAACAAACTCAGCTTTGAACAAATAAGAAGTCGCAGATGAAATTAAGATTCTCTGAGCTGTACCACTCAAAGGATATTCATCTTTTACTGACATCCAAAGTTCAGTTAATTCCTTGCTGCTAAATTGTTCTCAACATATTGTCACAATACAACTCAATAAGATTCTCTTCTTTTGCAGCAGTAAATTCAGATGGAGCACTGGTATTAAATGGATCTTGATTTCATGCAAATTTATCAATATTATCATTTTGAAAATATTTCCCGAACCAGATGATAAGCTGTGATAAACGTTCTTCAAAGATAATTTCTCTCGAGGTATGAATTTTAACTGTTTTGGAAGTCAAATGCTGTTGCAACAAGGGGAAACATCCTTTCCTCTGTCTTCATTTATTTTTCTTTTCCATAGTTTTAATTTGTTTTTATAAAAGCTGAAATTTTCTCAATTGACTTTTAAAAGGTGCATTGACTTTTAAAAGGTGAATGCTCTGAATCTCTCCCTGCAGGGAGAGATTCAGAGCATTCACCTTTTAAAAGTCAATGCACCTTTTAAAAGTCAATTGAGAAAATTTCAGCTTTTATAAAAGCTGAAATTTTTCCAATTGACTTTAAAAAGTGCATGTTTCTTCTCTGTAAAGAGAGATTCAGAGCATTCACCTTTTCAAAAATATTACATAAGTATGAAGATTTTTTGGTAAAACTAGCAATCACAAAATTTTTGGCATACTATGGTCTTCCCCTCTAAGAATAATATAAGTTTCCTGTCTCAGTTCAAACGTACAAGACAAAACATTACCTCGAGAGAGCCATCGCTCACTCGTGGTAATGTTTTGTACTTTCTCAAAGTGCTGTAGTACAACAGAGACGTGTGCTCGGATCCCACATCCTCACATAGTTTTTTTGAAAAATCTTGCCTTCAACAGCCATTTTTATAAAGTTTACTACATGTACTACATATTCTGGTTCAATGCAGGACTCAGATATTTTGATGCGAGTGCTTCCCTGTGAATAACGCAATGGATCCACAGTGCATCAGGATCTTTGCTTTGTAAAAGTGCTTGCAATCCTCCATAACATCTGGACATAGAACGAACACCATCAGTAAAGATACTAATGCATTTGGTCCACTCAAAATTATTTTCAGAAATAAAAATATCAGGGATCTCGAACAAGTTGCAAGCCTTAGCACCAGCAGTGATACTTTTACAGAAGAGTCTTCTACAATGTTGTTGTTATCTATAAACTGTACATAGCAAATGAAGTGAGCATCATTATTATTATCTGTGTCCCTTCCCTTCTTTCTGTGTATTCCTTCCCTTCTATTTTTTCAATAACTGAACATTGGAGGTCCTTTGCTATGTGCTGTATTCTGAGACTGATATTGTTATTGGACAGAGGCACTTTTGAAAGTTGCTACCCAGCAGACCCACTGATCATAATGTTCACCATATCTACAGCAGCCGGTAGAATGAATTTTTCTGTGACGGTATGAGGCTTTTTACATTTTGCTCTTCTATGTGCCATCTTTATTACTGAGTTAATGATTTGCATCAGGTCTGCTAGATGTCACATCTTATCACATTGAATTGAAAGTGGAAGCAAAATTATGAAAATATTATATTTTGCGTTCCCTAGGGCGTGCACACTGGGAATCGCTGTTATAGGCTAAAAAATTCAGACATCTTTAAGGAATGCCGCTTAAACATTTAAAGTAAAAACATTTTTGCCACTTCTGAAAAAGTTTTTTTTTTTCTTTTTGTAAATGGCTTAAAAAAAAACAGAAATTTTCTTATGTTCAAATTGAAAAATTTTTGTCTTGTTATTTTCAATGTTTAAGTTTATGCACGTATATTATATTCAATTGTTAAAACTTGGGCATTTTTATTTGCAGGTGGATTTTTATCACGTAGATAATGTTGTGGATCCACTTCATGAAATGGTGTCATACATGCAACCTCATTTCACTTACAAAGAAGGAGCCTATTACAGTGATGCATTGTTCTTTCTTTCCATTGGCATTCACAGAGTGTTCCCCCACAAGAAACTCATAATGATGGACATCGACATCAAATTCTTGTCCGATGTGAAGGAACTGCACTCTCACTTTAAAAAGTTTGGTTCAAATGCCGTGATTGGCATAGCCCAGGAGCAGCAGCCCGTGTATCGTCATCTTTTACACATTTACAGGAGAAAGAATCCCTCCACCAGGATAGGCAGTCCCTCACCCAAAGGAATGCAGGGTTTCAACAGTGGCGTGTTGCTCTTGAACCTGGAGCGGATGCGGCGATCAAGACTGTACAACGGCGTCATCAATGCCGAAACGGTGGAGAGACTGACGAAAAAATACAGTTTCAAGGGTCACCTGGGCGACCAGGACTTTTTCTCCCTGATTTCATTCGAGTACGAGGAACTATTCTATGTGTTGCCATGCACATGGAACCGGCAGCTGTGTCAGTGGTGGAAGTACCATGGATATGAAAGCGTTTTCGACGCCTATTACAAGTGCAAAGGGAAGATAAATATTTATCACGGTAACTGTAATGCGTATCTTCCAGACTAAGCGAAGAGATATGGACGGGGTGGAACATAAGTGTTATATGTCGGATTTTGATTTATTCCTCTCTTATCGACCATAGTCTGTCGGTTCAATCCACGATTTACCCCGCTAGAGGCAGAAGTGCTATGGATCTATAGAAATATAAACTAACATTATGACAATCTGCCTCGATGAACGGAATGGTTAATAATAAGCACAAAGCAATCCAAAAAGGATATTAAGGCCAATCGTACCTCTTTGATTATGCATGCAGTCCGGCAGAGGGCGTTAAAAATTTATTAATGCCATCTGCTGGATCGCATGCATAATCAAAGAGGTTAGATCATCCTTAATAGTACGCCAATGTGAGTGAGTTATGTTCCACTCTGTAAATTATTATTCAAGTGCCAGTAAAAATGTTTAACTCAGGATTCGATTGTACAATCTGTAAAACTTTTGCTGTCGTCGGTGTAATTATTCTTCCACACTCGGATTCGGTGCCATCGAAAAATATACTTTGCCATAATCAAAAACGTCAATTAACACCGTACAAATATACTCTGTGCCATTTGAATAAATTCTATATATTGTATAATTTAGCAATATTTTTATAATTAGAAAAATTATCGGAGGTGTACGTATATATATAAATATTATTTGTAGAGTGCTTAGTGTTACAGTAACCGGATTTATTTATTTTGTTACTGTTAGGTGCAATACTCGAAAATCAAACACGACACTGTGATTAAAAATGTAGAAGAGACATGCTTCGTTTCGTGCCATCCTTGGACTGACATAGATTTCTTTTTTTAAGTCTTTTTGTATAATAAAAACAGAAATGTTATTTTAAGCTATTTTATTGTATGATGAATTTATGTACAACATTGAAAAAAATGTCAGAGAATTACACTCATGAAATGGGATTACTCTAACATTAAATATAAAATACTAAAAAGTAAAATTAGTATAATTTTTTTAAATCTCAAAGCAGAGTTTTTTGTTGCCTTTTTCTTCCCAGTCTTTGGCATCCAAATTGTTAAAAAAAAAAAGAGAGAGAGAAAGAGAGCGAGCGAGAACAAACTTAAAATAGAAAAAAAACAAACTGCTGCGGAGCATAGACGTTTTTCTTCTTTAAAAAGTAAAATGCTAATCGATTAAGAATACTGGAAACACTTCTAAGTATAACTATTCACACACAATACACAGTACCGAATGAATGAGGTTAAAAGTCGAGTGTGATTGGCAAAATGTTTTTTCGTTTTTGTTTTTTAAATGCAAAAAACACTGCATTTTTACCCACATCTAGAATGCATTCTTGGAAAGGAACTGCAAAATAAATCTACGGGGTTTAGAGCGCCAGGCCCAGGCGTACAGGGTCAAATCCATCGAACAGAAAATAAAAGCATTCTGATTTGTAATTTTGCATCCTGGCAGAAAATCGTGCATTCTGAGATGACTGCAAGCAGTTTAAAAACGTTAAGTAATGGGAGACGGACGGGGACGGCAAAACTGAGGCGGCGGTCGGTTCGACCAACCAAATCCGACAATGGACGTAGACGGTTGGCCGCTCGCCGCTTCCGTTTTGGCCTCCTGCGCACCTTAAGAGGACAGATGAAAATGACAAAAGCCAGCCAAAAATCTATATAAAATTCACCCAATTTATTAGAGATCAAACAAATATTTATCAAAAAATAAAACGTTTCCTCGCTAGCGAGCGAAAAGCAAATTCTGAAAAATGCACACAAAAAAAAAAAAAAAAATGATTAACAAGAAAGTTTTCTTCCTATCTTTAATATAACAACTTGTTATTAAGAACAAGAAAATACACACTGGGACCAAAACATTTATTATTAAAATTCACACCACACATACACCAGATAAATGAAGTACCAAAAGGAAGCTGGATCTTGTTTTGTACTGAAGAAATTTTCCTTTTTTTTGTTTTAGTTTATTATAATACTTTTTTTTTTATATAAAAAAAAGCTTCCATATTGCTTTCTTAAACTGATATACAGTGATAAACTGTCATAAGTTCCATTGACATTTTATCAACCAAGAAAAACGAGATAATGGAACGCTCGGGATGCCGACGAATAAATTTGCTTGCTTGCGTGCGTGACGGTCGCTCTTGTACGTTACACGATTGGGAAACTAACTAAAGTCAATGGAACCGACTTACGGACTTGCTAATGAGAAAAAGGCTGGTGATGAGTAAAATGTGATATTTTCTTTGCCGTCTGGCAATTTATTTTTTGACATCATATGCAAAACAAACAATCCAAGAATAGATTGTGTATCAAGAAAACACAGATATCTCTGTTCACCATTACTTCGGACATATATATATATATATATTTATATTTTTATTTATTTATATATATATTTTGACTAACGTTCATTTCTTGATCCGTTTAAAGTACCAGAAGTAGGTAAACAGTAGAAGTGTCTACCGACTTCTCAACATCTTCAACAGACAAGTTATTAACTTGTTAATAGCTCTTAAAAACATCAGTTATATATATCATTAACGACCCAAGGATTTTTCAAAATATTTTTTTTCTTTTACAATTATGAAATTGCACTATACACAATTTATGTTTACATAGATGTTCGTCAGGGATGCGAAGATTTGAGCAAGATGGAGGATGCGTATGCAAAATTTTATGGCCTTCAGGAACATACTGTAGTCGTTGCCGAATGTCTGAAAGATCAATGAGAGGGGGGAACTAGGTGCCAATGCCTAACCTATCCGAAGAAATTAAACAAGACACTTCTACGTTACCACCTTCTGATACTATTTAAAAAAGACTTGTCTCTTTCTAAAAACTATAGAGACAAAACGAAATAATTAAAAAGTAATTTAAAAAAAAGAAAAATTTAAAATTAATACAGCAATTATAGGAAGCACAGAAATCCAGTTTTTCTTTTGTTCTTAAATCGTTAGATATAACAGCACAGTAATCTTCACAAGAAGTCGAAAACTAGATCAAAATCTGCCAAATATACCAATCCTATCTGATTTCAATATAGCTATATAAAGTTCCAAACAAATGACACATCCTAAAGAACACTATGGAGATGAATATGACAGGTTTTTTTTTCCTTTTTTGTTTTTTTTTTCAATGGTTTATACACAGTGCAGAAGAATTCAGACCATTTAAATACGATCTGCACTGGAGTGTTTTGTCTCACGGAGAGAGTCAGTTGTGTTTGGCTAAACTGTTTTCTGTGTGTGACACGCGTCGTCCGTTACGCCGTACTCGAGCAAAAGACGAAGTTTTCGAAGTTAAAATAATTTGATTTTTAAAAATCACAAAACGAAAAAAGTACATCACACAAATGAAATCGTGCTCTTTTTTTTTGTAACGCAATAAATTAAGAATGCAAACAAAGAAAACTTACATAAAATAACACACAAATAACGTTCTAGTTCAACTTAAAATTTACACACACTAACTAACCAATAATACTTTTTTCTGAATTTTTTTTCTTTCTTTAAATTAACAGATTTCAGAATAACCAGACACAACACACAACAGTGAAGTGATATGAGATAAGGTAAAGTTTACATGTGCGTATGAGAGAGAACATCCTTAGAACTGACTACAGTATGCGACTATGCTACACGATTCTTTTCTCCAAATAAATTTTTAAGTTTCATGCATACGAATATGTAAACCGAACATTTTTTATATTATTTTTTATTGAGTTTATTTACGGAATTCGGGAATGCACGTGATTCACATTAACGTTGAATTTTGACTTTTGAAATGTTGTTCGGAAGAATTTTGACTTTTGAAATGTTGTTCGGAAGAATAATTTTTCGAATGTTGCAATTTACTGGTCTTCGTTCATATTTATTCTAAAGACGAATCGCTGCTTGAGAAAGGTCCTAGGGAAGGAACCAAAAACGTTTGCAGTTCATTTTACAATTATTTAATACTGGTTATTGGTTTTGTTAAGTGGTTATTTTTATATTTTTATATTAATCCGGTATTTTGAAGATTCTTTTTTCTGAAATTTAAAGGTGTGAATTTTTGACAAGTGTCAATTTCTGCAGCTTTTTACAATATTTTAATACATACTAGTGATATGAAACATTATTTTTAGTTTTCACCAGTTAAAATTTAAATGTTCATCGTGAATATTAGCTAAATTAGGGTGCATAATTGTCCCATGCCATTTTTGGGACCTTGCAGCCAAGTTAGGTTAGGTTAGGCTATTTTTCTCCTTTTGTTTGTACTTATTATTGTTTGAGACAGTAAGAAACACAATAGTAATTAGACTCTCACATTATTATAGTTTTACTTAATTTTAAAACAATGCAAAATTTGAATGAGAAGCAATGAAAATACAAGGGTTGATAATTTAATAGTGAAAACACAGTTACACTGCAGAAATGAAGGGCGAACATCATGCTAGATATTTAGTAGTGATCTTCTCTTACTTGTTGACTCGATTATCCGACTCAATTGGGGACTGGAGTTGGTCGGATAACCGAAAAGTATGAAAAAATCCATTATTAGTGTAGTATATTATTATATCCCATGTAATTAGTATATTAGTGTATTAGTATATCGCTATTAACCTACTTTGCGTTGAATTTTCATCGAAGTTAAGCCTAACAAAAATTTTTTAAAATAATAATCGTCTGTATTGTATTGTTTAAAAATTAGAAAATTAAGCCACGTTTAAATACTGGCTCCCTTTCATGGTTGAATGAGTGTTGCCAACTAAACCACGTAAAAATAATATTAAAGTAGCCAAGACATAGCCAAATATTGTAGTGCCACATCACTAGCGGACATTTGAAATTTGCCGACTAGGACGGTCGGTTAACCAAGGTGTCGGTTAATCGGAGGTCGGATAATCGAGGCTCTGCTGTATATAGTTCTCTGTGTGTATGATGGTGCCTGCACAGTAGCAATGTAAATGTTCACTGCTGTAATGTCAAGTAGTCTATAATGGAACCTATGACATTATACAGTAATATGGTGGGTTATGCCTCAAAAATGTATATCAGAGTGTGAATGAACCTGAACTTGGACATCCATCAGTTGTAGAAATGTAGATGCAGGTCATAGCCATAATGCTGCAGATTAATCAGTGCTACACAATTCATGAGAGTGCACTGAGGCTAACCTGTCTCATGTAACAGTACTGCATATTCTTAAGGTTCACATGAGAAAAACTGCATCTCATTGGTTCCGTGTGCTCTCAATAAAGTGCAGAAATGGCAACATTAAATGGAGGCCGCTTGTTCCCCATTTGCAATGATTCCATATGTGAAGATCTGATGTAAGTCTGATGTGAAAAGTCATGAAGACTTTTTACATCAGAATATTGCAATCATCAAAGTATGGGCTTGAGCACAAGTCCAAACTTAAATGTCAGTTCTGTGAGTGATGGTGTTACAGTTGTCGAAAGTGAAGTAATCCAGTAATGCAAAGGTGATGATCATTGCTGCAAACAACTGTGCTAGTGTTATTCTGACACACAGTTAACCTCTAGATAGAACTGTCAATGCACAGTATGATGAATATTTCATGCAACACAATCTGCGACGAGCGCCTCACAGGAAACAAAATTATACTTTCAGATCAATCTCCCTATGATTTTGCATGACATATTACTTGTCAGTTTGTTTCCAAAGATGAAGGAACCTCTTCACTTTAAGATAGCACAGGTCAACAGTGATTTTGGTGCCCAGGTATTTTGAGCTGATTTCATATGAATTTGATGTCCTGAATTCAAATATGGCATTAGTTTTTGCCTAGGAGCTCTAATTTTTAAGATATAGCATTTTAGCGAAATATATGTTTCAATATCTTAAGTTAAATCCATGGATCAAGTA